AATCTCCATACTATTAATCACCTTCATTACCAATGTTGTTAACTTAGACACAAATGTTATTTCAGCATAGTTTAGACATCATCATTATTAGTATTTTAATTGTTTTGATTTTTATATTTTATTGAATTGTGAAGCTGTGGATATATTAGTTTATAGATGTTTTGTTTACATTTTTATTAACCTTTACTGTACTTCAGTTTGGTACATCAAATTAAACTGAAGTGAAATAGGAAATGCTATTATTTTACTCTTGTTGTTTTATTATTTAAGCAACAAACATATTTTAATGATTGTAATGTTACTAAACAAAATAGAAATCTTAAAATAAGGTTTCATTTGTTATAATTTACATGATTAAATGTATAGTTTTACAGCAGATGTTCTGTAAACAAACCCTTTTCCCTGGAGTGTCATCATCTGAAATGACCTGCAGGGGGCAGCAGAGCATCATGGAATTGATCCTTGATCCAGATGTTCCAGAGGTGTGGCGCTGCTGCTGCTGGAGTCATCTGTGGAGCACATCATGCACGCTGGCGAGGGAGCGAGACAGAGATTCAGACAGACAAAAGTATATACATATACATATAGTATAATAATATATAAATATCGATATGCATATATAGTGTAATTAGCAATGTAAATATATCCATTTAGTGTATATTATTATTGGCAATATTTACATATGCATATAGTATAATTGGCAATATGTACATAGTATAGTTGGAAAATTTACTTATGCATATAGTATAAAAGGTGATATGTATATATATGTATAGTACAATTGTCATTATGTACATATGCATAAAGATTAATTGCCAAAACATATATATATACATATAATACCATGTGTATGTATATATATATATACACACACACACACGTATATATATGCAGACCAATTAGCTATATTTACATATACATATGGTATAATTGCCAATTTGTAAATATACTTTACATATAGTATCAATGGCCAATATATGCACATGCAAATAGTATAATTGGCAACATTTACATATGCATATAATTGCCCAATATATATATATATATATATATATATATATATATATATATATATATATATATATATATATAATATAATTGCCAATATGTACATATTATATACATGCAGTAAAATTGCAACTATTTACATATACATATGCATGTAGTGTAATCAACAATATGTACATACACATATATGATAATTGCCAATGTTTACTTATTAATATGCATATTGTATACTAGGCAGTCTGTACATTTATATATAGTGTAATTGGAAATAGCTACATTTACATGTAGTATAATTGGCAATATATACATGTGCATGTAGTGTAATATGTACATATGTACACAGTATAAAATATGTCAATAATATAAATAATATAACCAAAGTACGTCATGGCAATAAAGTGAACTGAGAGAGAGAGAGAGAGAGAGACAGACATGCAGGCCTGGTTTCCGGGTGGTTTTGCGGGTGTCGTGCTCCTCCTTTCCGCGCGGGCGTTTCAATTTGCGTCTGTATTTAGATGTTTGGGCCTGAAGGAGAAAAACAAAACCTCAGACGCTGAGCACATGTGGAGGTGAGACTGGATAAACAGCTGTCTGTCTCTCTGTGTGTGTGTGTGTGCGGTCAGCAGGTCAGGCTGGGGCTTCTCTTATATAAGAGCTGGCGTGGTGTGGTGGGGGAACGGGTCTGGTCTGGTCTGGGTGGAGGTTTGTGTATTAGACACCAAACCCAAATATAGACCAGCGAGTTCTGCTCCACTAAAGAAACATCTGCTGCTGCTACTGCTGCTGGATAATGACTCTGAAAACACAGAACAGTACAGTCACACACACACACACACACAGACAGACAGACGGAGGAGACCTGACCGCCGTGTTGATCATGGTTGAACTGCAGGAAACAACACATCATCATTGCACAAAAACATTTCATATTTCATCAGCTCTCTAACTCACGCTCCAGTCTTAGAATAAACACCCCAAACAGTAAATCAGCTGTAAAATAGCACAGATAAAGTGGTTTATTTATATAGCACCTTTAAAAGAAGCATCTCAAAGTGCTTCACACACATACAAATATACATACAGGAATACACAAACACAAACTAGACAAAACAAAGCAGAGAGAAAACCCATTTACCCATTTACCCCTAACCCATTTTTTTTTTAAATCACAGGAAAGAAAAGCATTTTTGGAGTGACGTTATGGGTTAAACACAGTCATGCAACTGTTAATTAATGCTAACCCTAACAGTGATGGACATAAACATGCATGATGATATTGACCTCCTATTTAAAGTGCTGTACTGTGTTTACTCTAGTAAAGCTTATTGTTCTCTCCCAGCAAACAGAACGTTCTCAGAATGTTTTGATGTAACGTTCCTCTAACAGAATGTGTTTGTTTCATAATGTTCTCTGCAGGTTATTTTTACGCTGTTCTACCTTTAGCCAAAACATTCGTTGGACATTATGACCAGTGTTAGAAAGTAACCCAGAGTTTCCACAGAGCTGAAATGGAAAGTTCCTTAAAAACATGTATAGTTTAATTCTGAAGTAGCTGTATGAGACTGCTAGATTGCATCTGTCTGTCTGGTGTTTCAGTGTGTGTGTTTGTCGTTTCGTCTCACCTGTGGCTTTGTAATTTATAATGATATAAGAGAGTCTAAATTAAAGTAATGTGCTGAGCTGAGAAATGCAGCGGTCGGACGGGAGAGTAAATGTAGAAATGCAACTTTTGAAGTGGCAACAGCTGAAACACTCACTCACCAACATTTGATTAAACCAGAAAACCAAACCGTGTTATTAACAAACAGACAGAGAGAGAGAGAGAGAGACAGAGAGAGACAGAGAGAGAGAGAGAGAGAGAGAGAGAGAGACAGAGAGAGAGAGAGAGACACACACACACACACAGAGACAATGTTTAATATATTTATTTACATGTATTTAATTGTTTTATGGTGTGTTTACTGTATATATTTCTTTCCTTTGCTATGTTTAAATCATTATTATTGTTGTTATTTGTTCTCACTATTATTATTAATGTTGTTATTTTTGCTTTGGAAATTTATACTCATGTATGTCATGCCAATGAAGTGAATTGAATTGAGACACAAAGATATAAACCAGGGTTTCTGTAGGTTTCAGCAAGTTAAATTCAAGACTTTTTAAGACATTTTTAAGACCATTATGAATGACATTTTAGACTCATAAAGGGCTTTTATCAAGTTTTATTTGACTTATCAAAAATATATTATAATTTAAAACATTTAATAATACATTAATCATATTTTTTTTAATATTTTAGATATTTCTAAGCAAAATATTGTGTAAAACAAGCTCTACTTGTAGCCACATAATTTTTCCAACATGAACTTTCTTTAAAATAATAAAAAGACAGAAATGTTTTAAAAGTTTTCAAAACTATAATAAACTAAATCTGTGAACAACAGTCAGTCCAGGCGGGTGTCCTCAGCAGTAAACACATGGAGCACTTTTAAACAAATGTTATTATGAGGAAAATAATTAAACCATTATGACAAATAGAGTTAAAATGGACCTTTAAAGAAAGCTTACAGTTTTATTGAGGTGGATTGTTGCTGATTGTATGGGTTTTAGGCAGATTGAGTATACATGAACAAAGGAGAATTAAGACCTGTTTAAAAAATATAAGACCAACAGCACAATATTTCAGTACATTTAAGACTTTTTAAGGCCTAAAATTTTACCTTTGGGATGTAAGACATTTTAAGATTTTTAAGACCCAGCAGAAACCCTGTAAAGACACAATACCACAACAAAACATGAACCCTGAGAGCCTCATGTTAAGTGTATTTTTTATCATTCATATTAGCTGTATCGTCTGTTTTTGTTCCATTTTCAAGTATTTTTTTCTGTTTATTGAGTAATTTATTACTTTAATGATGTAAATATATTTCAATATATCTTTTATAAACTGCTTCAACAGCAATACTGTAAAAATAAAGTCACGATGACAATAGAACTGACATTTATCCATTCATTTTCATTTTCTTTTCAACTTAGTCCCTTTATTAATTTGAGGTCACCACAGCGGAATGAACCGCCAACTAATCCAGCATATGTTCTACGCAGTGGATGCTCTTTCAGCTGCAACCCATCGCTGGGAAACATCCATACACAGAATAAAACCGACAATCAAACAATAATATTTAACTGGAGAGACTGAACCCATCTGAATGAATGTACAGTGTAATGCATTTCATTTAATATTTATTATTGTTATTAATCAGTCGTTCATTCATATTCTGTTCAGCTTAGTCCCTTTATTTATCAGGCATTGCCACAGCGGAATGAAACGCCAACTATTTCAGCATATATTTTACACAGCAGATGCCCTTCCAGCCGCAACCCAGTACTGGGAAACACACATACACACTCATTCACACACACACTCATACACTAGTGCCAGTGTAGTTGATCAATTCCCCTATAGCGCATGTGTTTGGACTGTGGGGGAAACCGGAGCACCCGGAGGAAACCCACACCAACACGGGGAGAACATGCAAACTCCACACAGAGACACCAACTGACCCAGCCGAGACTCAAACCAGAGACCTTCTTACTGTGAGGCCACAGTGCGGACCACTGAGCCACAGTGTCACCTTTTTATTATTTGTCTATGTATATATAAAATATTCTAATTGTGTGTGTGTGTGTGTGTATGTGTGTGTGTGTGTGTGTGTGTGTGTGTGTGTGTGTGTGTGTGTGTGTGTATAATCCCTTTACTGTTTTATGTTTATGTAATCTGCGATGTGTTGGCAATACTTGACTAGTCATGCCAATAAAGCCATTTTGAACTGAACCGAATTCAGAGTAAGAGAGCTCCAATAACAGACAGGTTTGTTGTTGTTGTTGTTGTTGTTGTGTGTCGCTCAGGGTTTGTTGTGCGTCTCTCAGCGAGGATTTATTGACTTGTTTGTGCTGTGAGTGTGTGTCTGTGTGAGCAACCACAGGAGTGC